CCTCATCCTTTTGGCCAGTTTGTGTTAACAGCTCAGTTGTTTCAGCTTTATAGTTCCAAAAAAGGAACGTGTTTTAACATTTGGATATTTTCATTTTTCGATTTTGACCTTTGTTGACATTTGTTGACCTATATCTTTTGACCTGTATTATGTAGGAGCTTGACATTTCGAACATAACGTAACATTCTGAATATCAATTAACCTATGCAAAAAAAATTGAAGTGGGCGTGGCACATCCGGGTTAAATTACTCATTATTGACATTTTTGGCCAGGGGCATAACTCGCAAAGTATACATTTGTTCAAAATGGAACTTTGCATACAATTACCTCATAGAATTCCATTCAGGCATGCGTCAGGAAACTACAGAAAAAAGTAAGATGATAATAATATCAGTGCTATCATTTTATTTCAGGTTACTTGAACCTTATATAAATTTAACAACAGGATTAAAGATTAAACTAATAATAAAAGAAATCGAGCCAACAGTTGATAATATGGTATTATGTCTTAATTTAAAAGAAGGCAATACTGAGAAAACTATATATTTAACATCATCATTATCAACAACACCAACAAGTCAATCTCATCATCATACTCTACCACCTGACATCATCATTGATCAAAATACTTGGTCATCCAGGTTAGTCTCATTAACTAAAGTTTAAATTTACTTGGTAACCCATGTTGATATCATTTACTAAGTTTTAATTTCACTTGGCAGCCCAGGTTCCAACTTTACTTGGTCATCCAGGTTAGAACCATTTCCTTAGTTCTTACTTTACTTGGCAAACTAGATTCTATCTTGGTCATCCAAGTTAACATTATTTTCTTGTGCAACCCATATTCTAACATTATTCTTTTCAAATATCACAAAATAGGAGTGATTGAGTCACATCTTTTGATTCATTGACCCTTTTTTAATTTATTTTTACAGGACAAATTGACCCTTTTTTATTTATTTATTTATGTTTACAGGGTGTATATAATAGACTATAATATAGTAGAAAATTGTCAACTAACTAAAGTTAATCTACTGTTTAATTGTAATCAAGTTACATTTATACAATTTTATCTTGGTCAAATACAAGTAAGTTTTGTCTAATTAGAAAATCCAAATTTTTGAGTTCGATATAAAAGAGTCTTGCAAGTTAGACTGAGCTAATACGTTATGGGAGATTTTTCTCATTGACTGTATCATGAGTATCACAGACCGGTTGCGGGCACACGAGGAGACAACAATCTCCAGTCGATCAGTTTCCATTAAGTCAATAATCACGTGTGGATGATGCAATTGAAAGGAAAATGAATCTGATTGGATATGTCATGCAGAAGATGAAATAATTGGTGACAAAGATCCAACTGGGCACACATGTTATTTTACTCAAGATTCAAGTCAACAAAAATCGGTGACCAAGACAGTTCGTGTGCCTGCACCATTATTCTCATAGATAAGTGAAGTGAAGTGCAGATAATTGACTAAGGTACCAGTGGTCAAATGGAATGTGA